TCCAAGCAGTGGAAGAGCTGGGTCATGGAATTTCTATGTTCAGCTTTTTGAGGAAGTGCCAAACTGCCTTCCAGAGTGGTTGTATCATTCAGCTGTCCTTTGGAATCTTCTGTTCAGCTCTTTTTCTTCAAAATCCCTTCCATCTGTTTTGGCCTCTTAATGCTTTAGTGCAATTTTTTAGAGTGTCTTTTGACATCTGTTTACATTTTCTCTTTTATCTCTGTCTTTATAATGATCTTTTTCTCTCTTCATGGATGGTATCCGTTATGTCATCCCACAATTCATCTGGGCCTTGATCTAGGATCCAGTACCCCAGCCTTAAACAGGGATCTGGCATGTGGAAGACAGCCAAACAGGCTTGCTCTCAATTGGAGGTGGGCCTTGTGCTGCACACTGGCACCAAAGATCCAGCTGAGCCATTGCTATGCCATAATACTCTCATCCAGAACACTACCCACCGTGCCAGCCACAGGCCTCAGCTGGAAGACTCAAGCACCCACCCAACACTCCATTCGACCTTGCTTCTAGAGGCCTCAGCTGTGCTCTGCATTATGATATTTGTATGTCTGATTTGATGTTAGAAGTATAACACTTACTTGTCGGTTTACTGTTTGGGGAATCATTTGCATGCTGTCCTCTGGTAGCCTACTAATAAGAAGTAACATTGAAATACCAAAGTCACATGGTTCAAATCACCAACTTCTTCCACAGGAGAAGGATGGGCAAACCTCTTCCATGAGATTTACTACCTCTGAAAACCTGCTAGAGGGTCAGATATGAGTCAATTCTAACTCAGTGACACACAACAGTAACAGATCAACAGGATACAAAATGATAGAAGGAGAAAAGATTGAAGTTGTCAAAGATTTTACTTTACTTTGGAGAAAATGTTGAAGTTAGAGATTTCATTTTACTTGGATTCATAACCAATACCCATGAGACAATGGTCCAGAATAAGAGGTACATTGTAAAGAGGACTGAGGGAGGGGTGGAGAAAGGGAGGAAGGAGAAAGAGGAAGGGAAAAGGGGGGAAAGGAGAAATTGTGCAAAAATGAATAAATATTGAAATTAAAAAAAGAAAGTGAACTGGAGGAAGGGGAAGGGATGAGGAGGGAGGAAAATGTGCAAAAGTGAATGAATGAAAATCCAAATTTTCTGTAAACTTTTATTAAAATCATAATTAAAATAAACAAAAGGAAATTGAAAGGCCTGTTGCATTGAACAAACCTGTTGTCAAGGATCTCTGCAAAGTACTAAAGAGGAAGGATTTCTATATAAAAACGAAGGTGTTCCTAATCCAAGCCATGATATTGTCAATTTCTTTGCATGTATGTTAAAGTTGGACAATGAACAAGGAACACCAAAGAATTGATACCTTTGAATTATGATGTTTGTGAATAATAGCACTTATCTCAAGGACTGGCAAAAGAACAAACTAATCTGTGTTGGTGGAACTACAAATAGGATACTTTTTAGAGGTGAGGATGGTGAAACTTTGTCTTCACATGCTTTGGGCATGTTATCAGGAAGGACCAGTCCTTTGAAAAAAGGTGTCATACTGGGAAAAGCAGAAGGTCAGAGAATAAAAGGAAGGTCTTTAAAAAGATAGATTGACAGAATGACCACAACAGTGGGTTTGAACATGGCAGAGCTCATGAAGACGGTGCAGGATAGGACAGGCTTCCATCTGTTGCTCATTGGGTGGCTATGAGTGAGTTGTAATGGAGTTTACAGCATCTAACAAAACAAGACATGGATATATCAAATGGATAGGCTCAATGAAAAGAAGTGTGGCATCAGGATTTGAAGTAGACTCATCAACAATCTGTGTTATGCAGATGACACAACCCTGCTTGCTGAAACTGAGGAGGATCTGAAGTGCTTGCTGCAGAAGGTCAAGGACTATAAAATCTTCAATATGGATTGAAGCTCAACACCAAGAAAGCCAAGATTTTTACTACTGTGCTAACTGGCAGCATTCTGATGGATGGTGAAGAGATTGAGATTGTTGTCAGCTTCAGCTTGCTTGGATCCACAAACAACACTCTTAACACCAGTAGCCAGGAAATGAAAAGATGTATTGCATTGGGAAAGCCTGCTGTCAGAGACCTCTCTAAAGTACTGAAGAGCAATGATGTCAGTCTGAAGACTAAGGTGCGCCTAATACAGGCCATGGTCTTTGCAATTACTTGCTATGCATCAGAGAGCTGAACAATGACTAGGGAAGATAGAAGGAGAATTGATGCCTTTGAGCTATGGTGCTGGAGAAGAGTACTGAATATACCATGGACTACGAGGAGAACAAAGAAGTTTGTCCTGGAGATAGTGAAGCCAGGCAGCTCCTTGGAGGCTAGGATTCTGAAGCTTCATCTGACATATTTTGGACATGTTGCAAAGTGGGATCAGTCCTTGGAGAGGGATGTCATGCTTGTGAGGGTGGAGGGACAATGCAGGAGAGGAAGGCCTTCAATGAGATGGATTAATTCAGTCATTGGGGTAATGGGGCTAGGTATGTTGGAGACAAAAAGATTGGCAAGGGATAGAACATGGTTTAGGGCTGTTGTACATAGGGTCACTATGAGTCACAGGTGACTAACAGTACATAAAAATAATAACATAGGTATATACAGTATTGGATGGTAGTTAAGAACAAAATACATGGGTTCAAATCCATTTATTAACTATATGGCCTTAATCAAACTTGATTAATTTCTCTGTGCCTCTTTAAAATGGAAAGTAAATCTTATATTGTTGTTGTTGTGTACTATCAAGTTCAAACTGACCAATAGTTGATCCTCTAGCAGATTTTCAGAGGCAGTAATTGTACAGGAGGAGATTGTCCATCCTTCTCATGCAGAGCAGCTAATGGATTCGAGCTTCATGCTTTTGGTATTGCAGCCTAGCTTCTTGCCACTAGGCCACTCTTTAAAAAGTAGCTGTAAGAACTAAATTATTTTCAAACCCAACACTGTAATCATTCAATACATGTTAGCCATTACAGTTGTATTTCTATGTAATTCTTATGCCTTTGCCTGGCTCTGTGATGGATTTGTGCAAAACTTTACAGTGCTTGAGATGTCAAGTCAGTGTTTTAAAATTTCAACCACATGAATTAGTGCTATGGATGTCCTATCATGTCACATTGCCAGCAACTTTGGTTCTAGGACAATTCCACAGCATTTAAGAAAATGAGATTTCCTTCTGTGATTGTTTAGAGACAAATTTAGAACTCGTGAAATTATAAAGACGGGCATTTTCGTCATGTAGAGGTTTCTCTTTAGAAGAATGTTGTTGTTGTTGTTGTTATGTGCCATCGAGTCTTTTGTGACTCATAGCGATCCTATATACAAGAGCTCTAAACGCTGTTCTATCCTGTGCCAACCTTGCCATCACAGACACACTCATTCCCACCACTCCACTCACAGAATATATCCATCTCATCAAGGGTCTTCATCTCCTGCGCCATTCCTCCACTCTCCCAAACATGATGTCCCTCTGCAAGGACCAGTCCCTCCTTGCAACATGTCCAAAGTGTGTCAGACGAAGCTTCAGAATCCTTGACTCCAAGGAGCATTCTGGCTTCACCTTCTCCAGGACAAACCTGTTTGTTCTCATACCAGTCCATGGTATATTCAATACTCTTCTCCAGCTCCACAACTCAAAGGCATCAATTCTCTTTCTATCAACATATATATTGATATGGGATGGAGCGGGTGGAAGTAGCTACTTCCCTGTCAACTCAAATTCAACTTATTACCAGTGAGTCAGAACACGTGGAGTTTTCCTTTCAATATGACTTTCCTGGCCATAGTTTGACTTTGCCATGTAGAAGGGTAGAAATATGTGAATGAGGCATGTTAGCCTATCTACAAAAGAATGGCTGTCTACCAATCCACAAGGGGATTGACTAGTCTCACCATTAAATTGAGCAATCCTGCAGCAGAAAAATTAGACCTTCATCACTGGAGGTGAAGAACAATAAAGAAGAGAATTTAAAACACCCTTTGGGGCCAGAAATTCTTGCTCCATCTACACCTACAGCTGCAGCAGTCATAGCTGAAAGAGAGGACCAAACAGACCTGACATGATATGGAGTTAACCACTACTCACCCTAGAGACAGAAGCAGAGCTTTGCCCAAATTTGTTGGAAAATTTGGGGAGGGGCTCCAGGATTTCAGGAGCCAATATTGGCAGATTGAGAACTTTGTAACACTGGCCTGCAGCAGTGAGACTCAAAGCTGAGGTGCTTGTTTGCACATTTGAGAAGCTGTCCTGTCTATACACTGATACTCATCTGGATTATAACCTTTTGACTTCTTCAAAATGGCTCTGTGTGATCTATGAGCTATTGCATTACATTTTGGACCCAATAAAACACTAAGATTGGTGTTGAGATGAGTAGAAAGAGATAAGGGAGTATGGGGGACATGCTTCACCTCATGGGAAATTGGTTTTGTCTTATTTAAACTATTTATGGAGACAGTTCCCTTTGTGAAACTAATAAAGGTCAGATATGGCCATCCCCACAAGGCCCTTGCTCTTTTTACAGAACTGACTCCTAGCTGGCCCTCAAGGAGGTTTTCAGAGATTTTAGAGAGATTGAGAGGCTTCAAAGGCACAGAAGGAGATTGCCTATCTCTTTCTGCCTGGGAGCAGCTGGTGGATTCAAATTACCTGCTTTATTAGCAATGCAACTTCTCATCCTCTAGGCTACCAGAGATCCCTTTATGGAAGAAAAATAACTGTGTGAATACACTGAAACTGCTATTTCATAAGATGGGTTTTGGGATACTATAAAATCAGAGATGTTTTCCCATATTTTATTTCCTTCCAATTGGACCCAAACCACATTTGGTGGGGGAGGAGAAAAGCAGCCATGCCTGCATGTTTATCTAGCTAACTAGAAGGTTACAGCATTAGTGATGACTCAAGGGTTCGGGGTCTATAAAAGGAAAGGTACTTGTGAGTGAAAGACAGCAGACCCCAGACATACATCCAAGATGTATCCAGGTGTCCTGATTGCCTTTATCTTCTTGAGCTGGACCCATTGTTGGTCTCTGCCTCTGCCTAATTATGACAAGGAAGAGGATATGTCTGAGGAAGATGTCCAGTTTTCAGAGGTAGAGTATCTTGCCAGTCTGTATGATGTACATTTTATAAATGTCCTCTTCTTTTAAAACAAATATTTGGGTTTTTTTCCTTAGGACTACCTAAACTTACATTATTATCCTGAGAGTCCTACTAGACTCCTGAAAAAGACAGCACAAACCTCTGAGGTTGATAGACTTCGAGAAATGCAGTCTTTTTTTGGCTTAAAAGTAACTGGAAAACTGGATGCCGAGACTATGGATATGAAGACACCAAGATGTGGAGTCCCTGATGTCGGTGCTTACAATTTGTATCCTGATAATCTCAAGTGGTCTAAAATGAATTTAACCTACAGGTAAGCTCTGCAGTTGTTGTGAACTGTTAAGTCAGAACCAAATAATAGCTGACAAATCAAAGTTCCAGTGTGTATTCAGAGGCTTCAAATTGCACTGGAGACTGGCCATTTTTCTCCTCTGAAGCAGTTGATGGATTTGAACTGCCTACTTTTGAGTTGGCAATGCTAACCATTAAGCTACCTTTAAGATTCGCTAGCTTTAAAAGTAAGTACTAAATGTTAATTTTTAATCACAAGCTATTATTGATAGAGCAATTATGATTTTGTTAAGGCCTTAAATATTTAACTGGAAATTAAGTCCAGTTTATACTGTTGATGAGATTGACTCATAATATCTTTTATGGCTAAATGGGTTCAGCAATATTTTTTTAATGGAAATCTCAAAGTGCTTCTTTTAGAAATGGAATAAAAATAAACTAAAAAAAAATTCAAATGTGGCCCATCAAGTGTACTTATTACAAAAACACTAACAAGGAAGAATTTAATTATTTTTCTTTCTAGGAAATTTCTGTAGGAAATCTATTAACTGGCCTGTATCAGTACAATTCCAAAATGTTTGGGTGACAAAATAAGCTTTATTGCACATATGAATATTTAAAATTTTAGATGCCAAGTTTTAAGAGATTTGGAGATAGTCGAATGCTTTATTGGGTTCATCACTCCAGAGTGTAATATATTACACTAGATGATGGTGCAGATGAAAGGTTCAAAGTTTGAATGCACATGGGGGCTTCTTAGAGGAAAGGTCTTGCATCTACTTCCACCATTTCAATCACTGAAAACTCTGTAGCATAGCTCTCTCTATATTGATATTCATGCCATAGGTCAATATCAGTTCAAAGCAACTTTTAAATGTATAATTAACAAATTCCTTGAAATTATGTTCTCTAATAGGATTTATAAGACACTACTGTATTTTGAGTTGAAAAATAAGATCAAAAAAGTAAAAATAGCTTTCACCTTCCAAAATGTAATAGAAACATTCTCTCTTGAATAGAATTGAGAATTATACCCCTGATCTGAGGCCTTTTGAAGTTAACAAAGCTATCGCAAGAGCCTTCAAAGTTTGGTCTGATGTGACACCTTTGACTTTTACCAGACTTCGTGAGGGCACTGCTGATATCATGATCGCTTTTATAAGTCGAGGTAATAGAGAAAAACAATAATTTGTAAACATTTTTATATTTCCACCTTTAATTGCTTTCATTTTTATTCTATTCTCAGTCACTCATTACAGTGGTCAACAAATTTCCCAAAGAACTGATAGGTATATTTAGATTCCTAACTCTTGTTTTTATGTCTAGTACATGGTGACATCTACCCATTTGAGGGACCTGATGGTCTGCTGGCTCATGCTTTTGCTCCTGGGCCAGATTCTGGAGGAGATATCTATTTTGATGATGAGGAAACCTGGACAAGTACTTCCAAAGGTAATACCTTTTGTAATGTTATAATTCATGGGTTATTGGATTCTATTGAATACTGAAAGCTCTAGTAAGAAAGAAGGAAGCAGATAAGCAAATTATGTTTAGTATTTGCTTATATTGTCTAACATAATTTTCAAAAGTTTCTATTTCTATTTATGAATACAGTTTCTCTACAGGTGGCATTTGTAGAAATCAATGTGAAACATAAAAAAGAAACAAAAATATATTTAATTTGTGATAGTAGCCTAGCTAATCTTGAATAGGGTAAAAATGTGCTGTTAGTCTACTTGAGTATTGTTACTGTGAATACTTTTGGACATGTTAATGAGGTATACTCTACTGTCTATTACAAATACCTATCTAAAAACTTCCAAGGCTGTATATATGGTTCACAGAGGTCTTAAAGGTGAATCAAAATTGCTTTATCATTGGTAGAAATATTAATGTCACAGCTTCAATTAAGTATTTGAGCTTTATTATATAAGTTATTGTTTTAGATTTATTTTGTTTTTTGACAAACATCATTTTGACAAATGAGGGTAGTTTTGTATTCTAAAAAGCAAAGGATACATCAAATGAAGGTTACATTTATATAAGCAAAATGAACAGCACTGAGTGAATTTAGCATTGAATAAAGTTGGGTCTTCAAGACTTAAAAAGAATTGAGAGTATTAATTTAAAAAGACAAACCAAATAAATTTTTACCACTAGAGAGTTGGAGTTGTAATGACTCTTAGTCATTATGTTGTTGTTGTTATGTGCCATCGAGTCGCTTGCGACTCATAACGACCCTATGTACAATAGCCCTAAACCCTGCTCTATCCTGTGCCAATTGCACTGCCTCTGACACACCCATCCCGATTACCCCAGTCACTGCATCAATCCACCTCATAGAGGGTCTTCCCCTCTTGCGCCGTCCCTCCACCCTCCTAAGCATGATGTCCCTCTCTCCAAGGACCTGTCCCTCCTTACAACATGTCCAAATGAAGCCCAAGTATCCTTGCCTCTAAGGAGCAGCCTGGTTTAACCCTCTCCAGGATGAATTTGTTTGTTTTCTTGGCAGTCTAGGGTACATTCAATACTCTTCTCCAGCACCACAGCTCAAAGGCATCAATTTTACTTCTATCCTCCCTAGTCTTTGTCCAACTCTCTGATGCATAACAAGTGATTGCAAAGACCACAGCTTGTATCAGATGCACCTTAGAATCCAGAGTGACACCATTGCTCTTCAGTACCCTAGAAGGTCCCTAATAGCAGATTTTCCCATCAAAATATGTTTTCTGATTTCCTGGCTGATAGTGCCAAGAGTGTTGACCGTGGAGCCAAGCAAACTAAAGTTGTGAACAATCTCAATCTCTTTGGCATCCATCCTGCTGCTGCCAATTGGTCCAGTGGTAAGAATCTTTGTCTCCTTGACATTGAGCCTCAATCCATATTGAAGGCTGCAGTCCTTGACCCTCTCCATCAAGTGCATCAGATCTTCCTCAGTTTCGGTAAGCAGGGTTGTGTCATCTGCATAATGCAGATTGTAATAGATCTTCCACCAATCCTGA